TGCTTCAAACACCTAACTTGAAATCTCAAACTTTAACAACTGTTTTGTTAATAACTACTTTTGTTTTTGTGCATTTTGAAATTTAAACGTAGCTTTTTTCTTTACCTCTTGCAGAAAGTCGTGACTAAGCCAACCCTTCTTAAATTAGAGATTATTAGGGATTATTTTTAAAGTTAGCTTTCTGACACCTTTTCGAAGCTAACGACGATGTTTGTTAAGAATAGTTACTTGTGTAATGTTGCGTTCTTAAAAAGTACTCTAAAACATATAAATAAGTTACCCGGGCAATTGATTTGCATTAGCCAATCAGACGAATTTCTGTCTATGATTCTAAACTAGGGTTTTGATTATACCGGTATAATAAAAATGGTTCGGAATCTTTCAGAAATTCCTAGAAATTAGCTTGTTTAAATCGGAAATCTTCGTGTTCTCAAATAAAACGATTTAATTGGCTAAATTATTTCTAATTATTGGTATTATACATATACCCTCTGTGTATAATACTGGTATATACGGGTATTATACCAATTGTATAATACGGTATAAAAAATCTTAAAAACCCTATTCTAAACCCGTTATCGAAAAACGGATAACACGTGATCTGCCCCGCTTTAAGGACCCCTCTTTTATAGATTAAAAGTAAAGGTTACACAACACAAATAAACAAATAAGCAAAATAGGCAAAAGACACGCCAAAATTGAAAATGGTTAAAAATTTTGGACAAATAACATATTTTATAGGGAAAATTGTTAAAATTATTCCGAATTAAATGCTTGGGTCACGGGTTTCGATACGCTATTTAATAATTGTCCGGAACGATCTATGGTGTAGTGATAGACCAGGTTTTGTGTGTAATATTACCCGCACCTATGTTTAGATTGTATATCAATTTATTTAATCTGTCTGTTTCTATTTTTAGCAAGGATTTATTTTTAATCGCCATACGTAGCGATGTATCACTACCTTGAGACTTAGTTGTCGCATTGCGTGATATCGGGTTTCAATATTCAAACTCCGCTTGTGATTCGTAATATAGATCACCTATAGATTATTAATCACGAGCGGAGTTTTAATATTGAACTCCGACATCTGAAGTTGCGACAATTAAGCTTCGGAATTTTGATTTTCGGGATTTTGCATGCGCACACGGTGTTTGCCAAGTGCGTTAAATTCGGAGTTCCGTAGCTTTAAAAAAAGTAAAATTAATAATAATTGTCGCAGATCATAATGAAATCGGATTAAAATGAAATGTGGGTTTCTAATTGACCCTTTAAAACCCATTTATACTTGTTTATTATAAAACCTGCTTTCTAAACCCTAATCCCAACCCTAAAAAATGCACCCAAAAAAATTTGTATTTTTCGGTGGCTTGTCTATTTTACACTATCGCTCATTTCATTTTAATCTGATTTCATTTTAATCTGCACAATAATTGATTAATTGTTGATTACGTAATAGTTACGTCACCCAACACGTCACACAACATGGAACGGGTTGAAACGCGCATGGTGCCATCTCTAGATACATCGCTATAGCGATAAATTAGATCAGATTAAATCTAATCAAATAAAGATCCACGAATTTCGTTGGTTTAATTTTTATAATAAAATTATTATAGATAATTACCCCGATTCCGTTAAGTTTTAAATAGAAAAAATTTATTTAATAACAAATGAACCACGAAAAATTTTTTTTTTTTTTTTTTTTTTTTTTTTTGTATATAGATTGATTTATCGAAATAACCAGTCTATTCGGTCAATAATATATAACTCATCCAATTCGTCTTTCGAAAAAAATTTTTTACATTCTGACTAATTTTAGCCTCAATGTCTGATAAAATTGAGTCCGTTTTATTTTCATACCAAAAAAATGTTTCCAATCGTCAATATGAAGATAAAACTATCATTCGGAAGACCGAATATGTAAATGTTGCCTGTGATAGATGTCGAAAAAGTCATTCCAAGTGCTCAGGAGAGCCAAAATGTGCAAAATGCATGAAGCAAAACCTTTCGTGTGTCTTTAATAAGTTTCCAAACAAGCGTGGACCAAAGCGTAAAAAGCGTAAATTACCTTTTGGTAATACTGATCTTGAAAGTAGCAATCCTATGCACAGTAAAGTAATAATCCAAAGAAACATAATTATGGAGATTCTTATTCAAGCACTCGAAACTATGGAGGTTCTTATTAAAGAACTCGATGACCGAAAATACGTTTTAATGATAAAATTTGCGAATCTGTTCAACATGTTGGTGGAAGCTGGTTTATATAATTTAGAAAGCCCCCCATCAACTGAAAACGAAGAAGGGGCCGCGTTGCCCTTATATGCAGTTATGGATAATTTCATCAATAAGATAAATGGGATTATTACTAAATTGTAGTAGCTTAATTATTCTATAGATTGGAATCAACTTGAGTTTTTGTATTTTTCTTTCTCTACTATGATTTTTCATTATTTGTTTATCGTTTTTTTTTTCAATTTTATTCAATCTTCGCATGAAGATGAATAAGGTACAGGCACGCAGTTTATTTAAAATTTAAATAGGAATGATTAGTGTTTATAATTGCAGACTTATGACATTACCTAGTCACGTTCTATATAAAAAATCGGGTTATGTGAATAAAACGCAATTGAGCCGTAACTAGTGACATTAATATGTCTGCATCTATATCTGATATATTGCAATCAAAAAATTTTTTGCTCCGAACCTGTTTTTTTTTTTTGTACTGGGTTATCAAAATTTTATAGTTATTAAATAAATAGAACTATCGTTAAAGTATTTTCACTCTGGAGCTTTGTACCTGATTGCTATTACAGTCGGATCATCCAGGGCGGCCCCCAAAATTGTGATGTCCAAAAAATTTTACCACTTCGTGTAACCCGGCCTCCGGACCCAATTAATTATGCCCGAAAATTACCAAATTTTACTAATAAACCCGCTAACCGATAAGCTAAGTAAAGTTGCTCAGATCGTAATTTTGCATAATATTAGCTAGCTAGCATTATGCTTGTATTAGCACTTCGTAGGTCCAATCCGAAGTCAGAATCCGAACCAGCCGACCAAGGTCCATAAGCTCGGGTTACACGAAATAGTAAAATTTTTTGGACATCACTAACCTACTACCCAAAATTTAGTACTCTAGCCATGGTAAAAACGTTACTGTCACGTGATATTTTCAGAATCTAGCCAATTAGATAACAAGATCAGGTGTAATGTAAAAATTACGTTCTTTTTTGTTTTTTTTGAGAAATTGTTAATAACTCAAAATTTTACTTATTACTGTAAATTGTCTTCTGTGTATTAACAAAAAAAATTTCTTGCTAAATTTTGTTATATATCTGCCATATTCTCAACCTAATCCTAACTCTAATAATAATATTTATTACTTTAATTTATATATTTATTTGATTGTTTTGATTTCGCAAAATTGGCCAAAGTTACATAACAATAATGTTTTTTTACCATAGCTAGAGTACTACCCAAGCAGTTGAATTCCCACTGAAAACAAAAATTGAATTAGGAAAATAGATTCGGCAACTATTGCCATGGTCAGAAAAACTCGAGACCCTGTAACTATAGTCGTATCAATTTATTGGAACTGGGAGATCCCAAGAATTTGTGTAATAAAAAAGTTATATAGAGATATGTATCAGTATCACAGAAAGCCACAGAGCTGAAACAGCTGTGGGATGTTCACTTGGCAAGTCCTAAATAAAGAGATAGTACAGATCTTTGATAATACTACTGGAATAGAATATATCTAAGATTAATATAACTGAATAAAGACTGAGTATCTGGTAAAAATACTCTACCAACCAGGTTACTGGAGCATTGACTAGAAAAAAGATCTGTATACAGATACCAAGGAACTAGTATCTATTCTGGGCTATCTGAATTGGTAGTTTAGAGAGATTAACTGAAGTAATACTAAAAAGGAAAGATATTGGATAGATTTAAAAGAGTGTACCAAAGTTTGGGTGAACTTTATAAGAGCAGAAGTAGATAATAGTAGCAGCTTTGGCTCGCAAATACTTGTTCTCGAACTCGACATAAGTTATTGAAGTCTAGATTAGCCAGATTGTGGATATGAAAAGCTATAGCAAATAATATCTTGAGGATAAATTAGTTCTAAGAATACAGTATGCATCTGAAACTTCTTGATTGATGATTGTAACAGAGATATTCTAGTAATACAAGGTAGAGATATATTATAGAAAGTTTAAATAGGTAATACCTGTAGTTAGGTTATAGATACGGCATCTA